AAGAAGAAGAAGAAGAAGAAGAAGAAGAAGAAGAAGAAGAAGAAGAAAAGATTAGGAGATTCTGGGGTTTTCTGAATTATTTCAAATTTTTAAAACCACCCTGAATTACAGGTTAAAATTAAAAATATAAAGGCTCTCAAAATGACTGTAGCAGCACCCCCCTTTACCTTGTCCCACTGCCAAATTTCATTTCATGCTACTGATGAGATCCTCTCTTCTCTGGCTATCTCGGGTAAGTCATAGGAACACAGATTTGGAGCTAACTGTGAATCTAGAGGTCATTTAGTCCAACTGACTAATTTCACAGCTGAGTAACTGAGTCCAGATAGGTAAATAGCCTGCCCGAGATGAACGTAGCAAAGGTGTGATTCAAATGGAAGATCCTTGGACTACAAATCCAACATTCTGAAAGTTAAATAAGTGTGCTGGCTTATCACTTCTCTATTAATCTTTACACAAGTTTAATCACATCATCCAAATACATTTTCATATTGATAGACTCTTTGGTTTGGAAAGATCTCAGATAATATCTACATTAGAGTCTAATCTAACCCATACCTAAAGACTCCCTCTGCAACATCATTAGCAAGGAGCCATCTAGCTCTCTATGAAGACTGATATTCATCTATATAATGAAATAGTGCAATGCTTGGCTCTGTGGCTTAAACACAGGAAATATTTCATAAATGTTTGTTGAATTTCACTGCCATCATGCCCCATCTTGATACTGAATTTTGACCATTCATCTGTGACAGAGTTACTATAAAAGTTTCTATTCTACCTGATAACTGTCTCAACTTTTCCTTACTCTGACTTTTACAATGTTATATTGTTCTCATAATCACTGAGATAGAAGAGACCTCAGGAGCTATCTAGTCTACCTTTTAAGTGTGGAAGTATGTGGAACTCCAATGGTAGAAACTCCCTCACATATTGAGAGATGTAAAGATCATTAGAGGTCATCTGGTCCAGGGATTCTTAACCTTTTTCATATCATGGTCTCCCTTGATAGGCTAGCAAATTCCATGGACCCCTTCATAGAATAATGCTTTAAAATACATAAAATAAAACATATACAGTGAAATAAAATATGTTTTTCCCCATTCAAGTTAATGGACTTGAAATCTATACAAGAATTCCTTGTGATTCTGTGGATCTCAGGTTAAGAACCACTTATCTAGTCCAACACTCCATTTTACAGATTAGGAGTTAGGCCCTAGGGCTGTTAATAATAACTGACATTTATATAGCACTTTAAGATGATTGGAGAACTTTGCATACACTTACTCTTCTGATCCTTACAACAACCTCCATGAGGTAAATCCTGGAGGTTTTATTATACCCATTTTACCAATGGGATAAGTGAGTCTCAGAGTGGTTAAATTACTTGTCCATTGTCAAATTGGCAGTAAATACCAAAGTCAAGGTCTGAACCTTGGCCCTCCGACTTCAAACCTAGAATTTCTTCCCCTGAGTCACATAACCTCCTCCACCAATGTAGAATCCAATCTAAACATGACTTAGTAAATAACGCCCATGGATTTCCCTGAGGTGCAAAGTAAGTGACTTGCTCAGGGTCACACAAGTAGTAAAGTGTTGGAGTGGTGATTTGAACCCAGATCTTTCTGACTCAAAATCCAGCACTCTATTATCCACCAAGCCAAACTCCATTCCTGGCCACCACTCTCCTGTATGTGTTCTCTTGTTCATCAATAATAATAATAATAATAATAATAATAATAATAATAGCTAATGTTTATATAGCACTTGCTAAGCACTTTACAATTATTATCTCATTTGATCCTCACAACAACTTTGGGAGATAGGTGCTATTATTATCCCCATTTTATAGTCAAGGAAGCTGAGGCAAACAGGATAAATGATTTACCTAGGGTAATACAACTAATAAGTATCTGAGACTGGATTATGAACATAGATGTTCATGACTCCAAGGTCCCCTGTTCTATCAACTGTGCCACCTAGCTGCCTCTAAAAAATAAAATCTCAGCTCTTCAAATTTAAGCTCTCCAATTGCATCCCTAGTTCTTAGTAGACTGCTTGGCATATTGTAAGTGTCTAATAAGTGCTTTTCATCCACCCTCTTATTGTTTTTCATTCATTACTCACTACTACCTCTAATTCTTTACTATCTACATTTCTTTAGAAGATTTCATGTCATTTTGCTAACTGTTTTTCAGTATCACTTGATATCCCCCCCCCCTTTAGCAGATCAGTTTAAGCACCTATGGGTTGATGTGAGGAAAATGCTTTGAAAACTTTGAAGTACTATATAAATATGAATTATTCTATAGGTGATAAATTCCTTTCTCCAACTGCCTACCTATCCCCCTCTCTGATACCCAGTTTTTTTCTTTCTTTCTTTTTTTTTTTGGCTTTTAAGCTGCTTGTGCTGGTGTTAGAAGAGTGGGAGAGTCAAGGGTCAGTGGACCTCTTCTAAATTATTGCTTTTAAGGTCCTAGTTTTAATGAATTGATTTCTCATTAATGATTTCAACCACATCTTATAGTGTAAT